GCGATGGTTAAGAACTGGCTTGGGACGCCAGAGGGCCCCGGTTCAGATCCCACATATGAGGGCCAGTGACACTGCCCTCCACAGCTAAGATGCTGGACAACAGCTCAACGTGGAGCTGGGCTGCTGGGAGTAGCCAGCGACGATGTAGGCCCCTGCTGTAGTGGGCTGCCATGGGCTACCATATGTAGCCAGCAGCCAGCATGAGCGACTAGCAGCCGCAGTGAGCGGCCGTCCAGAAGCCGGCGACTGATCTGCCTCACCCGGGGAAGAGCGCAATGATGGTGCCAACTTGGGCCAGTGAAGCGACATCCTCCACAACTAGACTGAAGAAAAAATGACAGCCAACTTGTCTGTTCCCCTTCCCCCAATTACCTAGCACTGTTCCCATCCCCCCAATTCCCCAATAAAAATCTTAAAAAAAAAGAAAAGAAAAGAAACAAACAAACAGCATAACTAAATTTAAAAATTATTAAAAAAAAAAAAGACAAGACATGTGGTCATGCCACCTCTCTTCGGGGAGAGGATGGGGCTGGAAATGTAAGGTAATGACTCTCACAAACAGCTGAGTGCAGTCTGATGCCTTCCCTGGAATGCATGCCACATATTTCCGATGTTTGTTCTAATTTCTAAAGAACACCAGAATATAAGGCTGGTTGTAAACATTCTAGATCTGGCACTACCACTGATTTTCTTTGAGATTTGGGAACAAGTCACTTAAAAGCTGTGTGCCTCAATTTCTTCAATCATAAAATAAATGTTCTTCTTTTGGAATACATTATGGTTGACAACCCCACAGGGAAGCTCTGTGCCTCACTTTTTCCTAACTAACAGGATCCCAGCTTTTGGAAACCATGTGCCTCAAAGAGCTGAACCCCTCCCAGTCCCAGGGGACTGAATCTGGGCTAGTATAAACCAACCATACTAATCCCATTCCTTCTGCCAATGATTAGTTTAAGAATGGACATCTTGAGGAGGAGGGCTCTGGGAAATTTTTCCTTTATCTTAAGAAGAGACACAAGGAAGAGATATTTACTCTTCTGTCCTTTAGGTGTGATACTTGAACCTGTGGCCATCTTGTGACCATTAGAAGGCAAATCTGAAAATAAAAGCCAAAACACTAACTACAGAGGAAAGGTGGAAAGCATGAAGTCCTTGATTACATCATTGAGCCAATGAATTAACCAATCAAGCAACTACTCCCCTACCTCTAGACCTGCTGCTTAATGAAGGTAAACAAACAAAAAACTGGGTCTTTTGGTTATAAGTTACGTCTTGTTACTTGCATCTAAAACATTCTGAATGATACAATACTTACCATCTAGAACCAAGAAGGCACACATTAATGTGAAAGATTTTCAAAATTCAATGTACAAGATTACACAAGATACTACATTACTTTTTATTTTTAAATATAAATAGAAATTAGACTATAGTAAGAATACACAGGGGAAACTAGGTCACAAAAAATCAAAACAAATCTGATGGTCCAGTCAATAATTTCAGCAATGTGTTTATCTGTACCAATGGATAAAGTGTAACTATAAAAAACAGCTCATCTGATTGGATGATGGACTCAGGTAAATCGCCTTGGAAGGCATTCTAAGACTTACAACTCAAGCCCTGAGTCATAGACTACCTACTCTGACCATTAACCTTAGAGAATCTGACAGGAAAATCTGAAAAAATAAGAATATAAATAACAACAATTAAGAAATGTCCAAATACACTAAACAAATACTCTTGGTAAAGAAGTATGCTGATCAGTTTTGTAATCATTGTAATATTGTCTATTTTTTTTAAAAGATTTCATTGGGGAATTGGAGGGGAACAGTGCTGGGGAATCGGGGGGGGGGGGGAAGGGGAACAGACAAGTTGCTGTCCTTTTGTTCTTCAGTCTAGTTGTGGAGGATGCTGCTTCACTTGCCCAAGTCGGCACCATCATTGCGCTCTTCCCGGTCAAGGCAGATCAGTCACCGGCTTCTGGACGGCCACTCACGCTGGCTGCTGGCTACACACAGTAACCCAGGGCAGCCCACTGCAGCAGGGGCTGCAGCCTACGCCGTCGCCAGCAACTCACGGCAGCCCAGATCCAGGTTGAGCTGTTCAGCATCTTAGCTGTAGAGGGCAGTGTCACTGGCCCGCATATGTGGGATCCGAACCAGGGCCCTCTGGCATCCCAGGCCAGCTCTTAACCAACGTGCCACTCGGCCGGCCCTGCTTTTGTTTTTTAAGGAGGGCACAGCTCACAATGGCCCATGCGGGGATCGAACTGGCAACCTTAGTGTTATCAGCATCATGCTGTAACCAACTGCGGTAACCGGCCACCCCACTTATGCTGTTTTGATTACTATAGCCTTGTAGTATAATTTGATATCAGACAGCATGATACCTCCAGCTTTGTTCTTTCTCAGGATTGCCATGGTTATTCTGGGTTTTTATATTTTATGATTCATATTTTATGATTCCATATTTTATGATTCCATATGATTCATATTTTATGATTCCATATAATATGATTCCATATTATATGATTCCAAGTATGAATATTTTATGATTCCAAAATATGATTCCATAAAATCATATTTTATGATTCCATATATTTTATGAATCATATTTTATGATTCCATATGGAATCCAAAAAATTCCATATTTTATGATTCCACCTCAGAAGCTATAGTCAAATACTGCTTTCTGTCAAGCATCCCTCACAGAGGGTGATATCAGCACAGGCCAAGATCTCACTTCACCCACATCACATTTATACACACTAACCTAAAAACTACTTTCTGGCTAGTAATAGAGAATGTAGGGCTAAAAAGGGCCTTTGGTTTTTCATTTGCAAGAGAGGATGAGTTTCTTTCTCAGAGTGTGCTGCAGCCCGACGTAGTACCTCTCCTTAAGAGACACTCTGGTGTTCCAGTCATACACACTGTCATTGAGTTCAAGGTGGAGTTCCAGAAGTGGGCGTCTTCTGGAGGGAAGAAGAAAGGCAAAAATGAATGCCATGCAAATATCAAAGAGGAGACAGATTATCACTAGGGTAAAATGAGCCAACTGTCATGAAAGTGCTTTGAAATTGTTCTTTTCTAAATACTCTACAAACAGCTTCGTACGTCCAGCCAGGTGGCAGCACTCTGGCCCAATGACCTCAGTTTCCCTCCCCAAGGAGAAATTGAGCCTTACTCTGGAGACACACTAGCCAAATGATGACCCGCCTGGATCATCTCTATGCAAAGGCAGGATGCATGTAAAAGACCAATAATACCGCTGGCCCATGGAGTGTCCGCTTTGGAAGGTGGAGCTGCTCCTGCTCTAGCTCTCCCCTTATTGCTGAGCCACCACTGAGGGGGCTGGGGGCCGCAGGCCATGAGATTTATTCCTGGGGTCCCCAGAGCTACAACAGAATGCATTTCACAGGCGGCTCAGAAGCATCATTCTAAACTGTAATTGGGGGCAACTGAAAAAAAGACTGCTAATCTTACATTTGAGGGAAAGTATGACACCATTCAGCTTAAATGGAAACCAGGTCACCAGTGTTTCCCTTAGAAAAGTATTCTTGCCAATAAACATCAAAATGTCTATATAACAAAAACTTGCAGACCTGAACAGTCAGGTACCATTATTCACCTGTCAAATTGTCAAGACTTGGGGAAATAAGAGTACGCAGTGCCGCTGAGAACTCGGGGACACAGACACTCTCATCCGAAGCTAGTATAACTGTCCCAGAGGACAATCTGAGAAGATGCATCAAGGGCTTTTAAAAGTACATGTCATTTTGACACAGTAATTCCACTTCTGAGAATTTTCCCAAGAAAACAATTAAAGATAAACACAAATACTGGGTTACAAAGATGCTGAAAACTTTCTTTTTGTGAAAGCAAAACACAGTCCAATGCCTGAAGATTGGTCAAGTAAATTATGCTACAGCCATATTATGGTTACTCTGGAGACATTAAAATGATGCTGTAGAAAGAAATGTGACTACTGACATGTGAAAATGTATGTGATATACTGTTACACAAACTAAAAGCGGGTTTTAAAGTAATAGCAGATGATGATTCCATTTTGACTTAAAAAATATTAATGTATGATTGTCTGGATATCCAAAAAATATCTGGAAGGCAATATGACAAGATTTGATTAACAGAGGTTGGTTCTAATAAGTAGGATTAGGACTGCTTCTTATGTTCTGCTTTTAGCATCTATATTTCATGTGTTTTATATATACATATGAGAGAGAGAGAGAGAGAATGAATTGCTTTTGTAATACCAACAATGAACATTTTCTTAATTTTGAAAAAAAATATCCAAACTACAAGCTGACTAATAAGTGACTTCTGAAAGCACAAAGCTTTCATACACTGTGTGGGGTCTGCATCATAGTCCTAAGGAAAACCCTCCCTGCTTAGAAACGTATCAAACATGGCAGTGGTAATCTCCAAATCAGTAGCAGGAAAATAAACAAGTGGTCCAGGGAAGGGCCACGACCTAGGTGGCTCACCTTTCTTTCCTCAGTATCTCGGAGAGGCACTTCAGGTACAGGGATGGTGAGCTGGAGGGCCGCTCCAGCAGAGACACGTCTGCTTTGCACAGGCTCCAGAAGAAATCAGCTTCTCGGTGAACTGTGCAGGGCCCTGGCTGCCTTGCCTTAGAATCCACATTGTTCACTGCTGGCCCATCTACCTCCAGGATGCTGCTGTCCTCTGGGAGGCTGTCTGACACGACGTAGTTCTGAATAAAAAAGAGCTTTGGCTTTCCTAAGAGAGAAGGGCATGCATCTCCCATGAACATCCTCCTGATCTGATCCAAGGGGAACCCTGAGTGAGTCTGATCCACACCAAACATACTCTGGGAGCCCCCTCGGCTCACCAGGACACACACAAAGCTGTCATAGTCTTGATGTTGAGGCTTATGGGCAACTTGGCGAAGAATCTGAATTAAATGGCTCATACTCGGATACAAGCAAATCTGGACATCATAACCCAAGGAAGTGAAGGTGTCCTGAAGAACCTCTGCGGGAAAAAAAAAGGCCCTTTCTTAAAATAATAGACAAGTACATAGGAATATACTGTATATATTTGCAGAGCTCAGATCCCAACAGCTGCAGAAAGGGTGGCATGCGTCATGAGTTCCCTCACCTCCACCTGCTGTGGGCTGATATGAATCAAGCCCCTAATATACAAGTAGTGACTGTTTCCAGACTCTCCAGTTCTTCTCATGACCTGCTTTCCAGTGTAATTTTCAACTACACAGTGCCTCCAAAGATTCCTCTCCTAGTTTCCAGGAATCCTGGGTTGACTTTGCCTCCAGAGGCAGTGGAAGGCAGTGGAAAAAGAAGACTTTGAGTCTGCTGGCCCTGCCTCACCTAAGGGCCACATGACCTTTAGGAAATGAGTCTTCTTAGCTTTAAATGGAAGTAATGATACCCACTCTGTGACAACGCTGTGAGGATTAAATGAGATAATACAAATAAAACTCCTGGTGCTCAATAAAAATCAGTTCCCATTCCCTTAAGACAAAATTTTTTTTGTCCATCTTCTAGAAGTTTTGATGGCCGTGGAATCATAGAAACTCTACCCAGTCCACTTCTTTCCTATTTTCTCAGTTTGCTTTCATTGAAGAAATAAACACAGCCTCCAGAATTGTTTTCTTTCTCAGAGCAAGAAAGACAACTTTGTCTTCCTTATTCAAAACTTCTCCATTCTTTCGAGCCACCCATTAATTTTCTGTTTCTTATCTGAGGGGTGCCTCCAGTGTTTAGTTCCTCTGAGGGGAAGAAAAACTGTTCTGTCCTAAGCCCAGAGGCTAAACAAGCATCTCCTAATTCAGGTCTCACCTAAACCATTAGCCCATTAACTTCTCTGGGTTTGTTTCCATGTCTCATGACTATGTGCCCATCTCTCTTCTTCCCCTGGGGTATGGTCTTCCAGAAGTCCACCAATGCATTCACCCCAAACCAAATGACACACAGTAATTAGAACAGATGTCACTTCCACCAAGGAACAGAGGGGTCCCACCTTCTACCAGTTTAGGCATCACAGGAAAGCATCACGGGGAGATATACAACTGAAGGTACACATAACTGTTTACTACAAATTCTCAGTTCTATACACTAAATGGGAACAATTTAAAGTCTGGATAGTCACAAATAATTCAAAGATTCACAGCTTCAACCACCTTCTTGCCCTGCAACCTTTACCGAGCACTAACTATAAAAGTGAAAAACCAAGCAATCGCAATTTCTCTTCTATTGATAGCTTCTCAGCAGGAAATAGGAAAAAAGATAAAAGGTACGAAAAGAAACACAGCTGTGGATAAACAAACAGCTAGAATAACAGCCACTGAATACATAAGAGTTGGCCTGAGTGCTCTGAATTTAATTTATCCAGCCTATGAACAGTATCTGGACACATTCACATAGGGTCGAGTAGAACTTTACACTAAGAAGAGCTAAGACCGTGGCCTCACATGCTACTAGATTTGGCACTTTTAAATATGTCCACGAGTTCTTTGACACTCCTCCCTTAAAAAGATAGAGAGTAATTACCTCCTCTTGAATGAAGACCATACCTGGTAACTTGTTTTTAATGAATGGAATGTGGCAGAAGGGATACTATGTGACTTCCAAAGCTAGATCCCAAAAAGGTTAGTTTCCTCCTGGCTCTTTCTCCCTTTTGAATTGCTCATCCTGGGGGAAGCCAGCTGCAATGTCAAGCAGTCCCATGAAGAGGCCCAGGAAAAATGGAGGCCTCGCACCAACTTTCCAGCCACATGAGTGAGCCACTAGAGAAGATCCTTTAATCCCACTCACGCCTTCAGATGCCCCCAGCTGACATTTGACCACTACTTCCTGAGAGACTCTGAGCCAGAACAGCGCAGCTCAGCCACTCGTAAATTCCCGAGCCACAGAAATTTTGAGAGATATAAATATATTAGCATCATTCTTTTAAGCCACTAAATTTTGGAGTGACTTGTACACATTATTAAATATTTCACCAGGTAAGTCCTTTGACTTCTTTTGTCAGGAAAAGGAAATACAATATCCATGACTTAAGACTGTAGATGGGCTATTTACCTATTTTGCTGTGTATAATGTGTACTTTTTTGCCCAAATTTGTGAGGGAAAAATAAGGATGCTCATTATATATGGATAGTACTAATTCCGTATTTATATAAATGTTTTTAATTCTTTTATTTATGCTTATGAGTTTAAAGTGTCACTCTAGAAATCAATAACAATATCCATATGCAAAATAATACCCTGGAATAGGATAACTGGTTTTGTTCAACTTACAATGAACTTGCAACAACGAAGTGTTCTTGGCCTTCTCTGATGCATAAATCGTAAATTTGTTAATGGTACGTACAATTTCTTGTACCATAATACGTTAAAAAATAAATGCTAAAATTCCTTTATAATACAAAAAAACAAGTACCTAAATGTAAATAGATAAAAATTTAATTAAAAAATTAAAACAAAAGATTTTTTTCCCCTGAAAGTTTGGGCCAAAACGTGGGTGCACATTATACATGGGAGCACATTATACATGGAAAAATATAGTACTTGTCTCCTCTGCCTACCCACGGGTAAGGGTGAAAAAAAAATGAATTATCTATCACATAATAATGAAGACATATAAACTGAATAAATGAGAAACATAAACAGAAATAATCTCAGAGACACAGAGGAAAAACTGAGGGTTACTAGTAGGGAGTGGGTAGAGATGAAGGGGAAGGGGAAGGGACGAGACAATTCAAACTGGTAACTACAATATGGCCCCAGGGATAGAAAAGACAGTCTGGGAAATATAATCAATAATGTTGGAAATACTTTTTAGGGGGCCAGATGGACTCATGTCTTGTTAGGGAGACCACTGCATAGATGGTGTAGAGGCCTGACCACCGCACTGTATTTCTGAAGCTGATGTTGAATACTATTGTATGTCAACTACAATTATATATACATATAGTCACAGGATGTGGAGTAGAGAGTGGGAATGGAGTCAATGGAATTGTAATAGATAAGCATGATATCGGGGGTGGAAGGGCAGTAGATGGGGGAGGGGGGTTGTTTCTGTATGAGGGGTGAAAAGGATAACTATTGCATTGTTCTGTACACCTGAAACTAATAATAAAAAAAAGAAAAAGAAAAAAAAATAATAAATTAGCTCATGAAAAAAATAATAATAATAATGAAGAGATATAAAGAAGTTGCCAATCTCCTTAAAATCCTATGATAAATAAGTATTATCCAGAAAACGAAGAACACAATACACAGTGGCTGATATCCTATTAAATAACTTACTTGTCCTCACAGGATCTCAGTGTAGCAGAAAAGGCCTAGCAGTGTTGCCCCTGCATCGCCTCTGAGGGTGTGGGCAAGGCTTCGGTACCCAGGACTGTGCTCAGATTGAAACCCAGGCTGTACAGTGAGAGAACCTGTACTAGGACCCCAGCTCCATCATTGTGTTTTATGCCAAATACAGTAAAACCTTGGATTGCGAGTGACTTGGTTTGCGAGTGCTCCGCAAGATGAGCAAACATTTCTAATACATTTTAACGTGGTAAATGAGCAATGTCTTGCAATACAAGTAGTTTGTTTCTAGAACAAATTATGCTCGCAAACCAAGGTATGACTGTACTTCCTTTCAGGACTCACATGTCTCCAATCACTGAATATTCTCTCCAGTAGGGGGCAGAAGCAAACAGAAACACCAGCCTCAAAGCTGTGTTTACTTCCCTTAGAATGGTTCACTTCCCTCAAAACTCTCACTTCACTGATACATTTCCTCTCTTCTCAAAGTCTTTGAAAGAAAGCCATAGTCTCTCTTTCCATGCTGATATGCAGAGACAAATGCTGTCCTGTGCCTTCCGCCTCTTCGCTTTATCTGGGCTCCCTGTAAGTTCTTGCTGGAGCAGCAGATGTCACACGGCAGTGAGCAGGCAGCTGCATGGTACAGGGTAAAAGAGGAACCAGGCTTGGAATCACAAGATCTGAGTTTAAGTTCTGCCTCCTCACCCTACTTGCTGGGTCTGAACTTTGCCTGGTCCTGAAAGAGGACTAACTTACACAAGCAGAGGGACTAAGAAGGCCATGATAGGAATCTGAGGTCTGAGGCAGGGAATCCTTAACCAAATAAAAGAGGAGAAAAAAGGCTAAAGCTGGAAGTGAAACCGAAAACCATCCAGGTCCTCACTGCCAAGAATAGACCAACATCAAATCTGGACAGGCCTCAGCCCAAGATGGAGCACTTTAAATATCCCTCTAGCAACACAGTCACTCAAGAGATACAGGCTGAAGTCATCGCAGCTGACATTTCTCATTAATATCACATCTTTCCTCTATCAGATAGTGAGGTGGCGTGGCAACTGATGTTAGCTGGCAATTGCCACTTTCTTTCTTGGGCCACAAGAACATGGATATAGCCAGTCTAATTTATAGGATCAAAGGGATGGTAACAGTGTGACTTTGAACAAGTTACAGCCTCAGTTTATTCACCTATAAAATGGGATTGATACTAATGCCTACACTGTAGTCTTCAAAAGATGGTTGTGAGGATCCAATGAGGTTTCTGTCAAGATACTTTACGCCATCTGTACCAACATGGATGAACCTGGAGGGTATTATGCTAAACGAAATAAGTCAGTCAGAGAAAGACAAATACCATATGATCTCACTTATATGTGGAATCTAAAGAACAGAATAAATGAGCAAAGTAAACAGAAATAGACTCATAGATACAGAGAACAAACTGATGGTTGCTAGATGGGAGGGGGGTCAGGGGATGGGGGAGAAGGTAAAGGGACTAGAAAGTACAAACTGGTAGTCACAAAATAGTGATGGGGATGTGAAATATAATATGGGGAATGTAATCGATAATGTTGTAAAGATTATGTAGGGTGCCAGATGGGTGCTGGACTTATTAGGGGGATCACTTCATAGATTATATAAATGCCTAACCACTGTGCTGTACACCTGAAACTAATATAAATATTGAATGTCAACTATAAT